GAAAGTTTTAACAACAACAAATTTACTAAACATAATAGACGAAATATACTGTTCTCGTCTACTTATTAGAATAATAGACTTCGGCTTTCGACGACTAGTAACAAGAAGAAGAATACGCTCTATGTTCATAAACATGATTTATCGTCCAGGTTAGTATTAACATCATTATTACAGTAATTTAGGAAATTTCGTACCGTCCACATCCCACTATCTCACCATCTTCTCCCCCCTTCCCATCCCAACTCTTACCTCCAAACCCGATTAAACTCCCACAACCCCTCCTCTCTAAACTCCTCCCCCATCCTCCTCGCCTTAACACACCTAACCGCACGCCAAGTAAGATAACCGCCATCAATCCCCTTCTCGTCCGCCTCCCTCATCAACCCATCCGCCGCTGCCTCCGCTTTGCGCTGTCTATCTACCGAAATACCACGTTCTATAGAACTAGGATCTTCTAGACCGCATACAAATTCCACGGCATCAGCAATGCTTACCCTCACCACATCCTCACTATCCACCTCAACATCGTTCCTATCCAGCGGTAAACACTTCCCACTCGCTCTCAACGTCTCAAAATCAACAAGAGAACTAATTCCCTCATCCTCCCCTGTACGGACGAGCAAAACAGTTTGTTTCCGTGCGTGTTCAGCGACGTCTATAAAACTCTTTTCAGGTATCCTAAGATCAAAGTCCGAACTGACATATCGATCCATCATCATGATAATAGCACGGTACGTTTGTTTCAATTGATATTTCTCAGGGTGTTTCCAGGGACCCCAGGGTTCTCCTTGGTCTGAGGTTGGGGGATGGAGTTTGATGGTGTTCAGAAGGCTAGAAGCTGGATCATAAAGGCGTTTGTGGGTGGAGATGATTCCGGGAATTGTGAGGGGGCCGGTGGGGAGGACGCGTAATACTATGCGAGTTAATAAATGTATTTCTCATTGAATTTAGATCCCGGAGCCACGTGCGAACATGAAGCTCTCTCCGTTACAAAGCTCAGCATCAAAGCAAAACCAAAAAGAGAAAAGTCACTTACAATCAGCAAAGAAGTTCCCAAACTCAATACTCGGCTCATCATCATAAAACTTAAACCATCCCCCAAACAAGCACCTAAACGGCAACAACGGCAACGCGTGCCCATTCGTCTCAAGCTGTGGCATCCAATAAAACGGCACCACCTTATTACACATCCCAAGAAGCAATCTAGATTCGAACTGGGTGTTTTCACTCTGAATCTCCATATAACAGTCCGGGGTACACCAGGAATACTTCATCTGACGCCGATACTCGTTCATATCACCCATAAGATGTGAGTGGATGAGTTCTTGTCTGACTTCAGCTCTTAGTTCGGGGGAGAGCGGTTCTTCGGTTGAGAGACGTGTCCATGGTGGTTCTGCTTGGAGATGCGGATCTGACTCTAGTGGTGGACCGACTTGGCGGTTTGGAGAGGGGAGTTTGTCGATTTTCCATTTTGATTTTACGAGGGAGTATTTTAGGGATGGTTTGGTGGTGGTGAGCGGAGTGTGAAGCAGCCGGGCTGGTTGGAGGTATATGCTTCTTACTGGGATGGAACTTGGGCGGGTGGTGCTTGGAATGGAGTTGTTGGCGGGATTTTCTGTACGGTCTGTCATGACGGACGGCGAAGATGGAGAATGAGGTTAGGTAGCTGGTGATATTGGTGGAATTAGGCGATGAGGGGGTTTGAATGCTATATCTCTCGGGTTGTATACTGGTATTTTCGAACTCGATTGGAACCTGAGAAATTTCTACTTTTTTGTAAGAGTGCTAAAGTCTAGAATGTATGTATGCTTGATGCTCGATATCGTTCTTTCGTTCTTGTCTAAAACAAGGTGAGTGACGCTAAACGGAAGTACTAAATTGCAGTAATTGTAGTCTGACACGTGAACATTAGTTCTTCCCCATTGCCCATTGACTCATAATCAACAAGTAGGAACCTTGTACTAACAAATTATAGTTTAGTAACCAACTAACCCATACTAACTTAACCCAAACCAAAGCAAGCGCCAACACCCCTGTTTCATTTAATTTGTCTTCAAGCCAACTTAGAAAGCATTTGATTTCTCCAAAAAAGTAGACAGAATACAAAGTATTGCGCCGAATTCAATGAATAAATATGCACTATTTATCGTAAACCCATCTCTTTTCCTCACAACACCAGATGAAGCATCCTGTTTCGTCAACTTTAATCGAGTAATTCTCAAAGCGCGAGTACTGAGTATTATGCCAATTACAAGATATTTGAAACCGCAGTCTGAAAGCACTTAACTGCACTTTGAGACAGACAACTTGAAACTTATCATTTACTCGGAACAATAGAAGAAACACACTATTTCAATACCAATTACAAGGTACTTGAAACCGTAGTCTAAAAGAACTTAAGTACACTTGGAGATAGACAAGCAAGACAACTTAAAACTTCTCATTCACTCAAAACAATAAACGATACACACTATTTCGTCAACTCAATCCAGTAAACCACCATAGCCCCTTTACTGTGTATATTCTTATTCCCCGTAAAATACCCAACTGCGTTGCCAAAGGCACCCCAGGTCACTTCAGATAACCTGTAAACTCCAAAATCTCTCATTTACTCAAAATCATAGACGAAATACAGTACCGTATCAATCCCATCAACCAACACACGAGTTTCATCCCACCAGGATATCATCACCCCCTAAACCCATTTAGTTTCCTCAAAACTCTACAAAAAACACAAGAACATCCCATCAATCCACCCTCCTAACCCTCATATTCCTCCCACCAACTATCCCATCCACCCAAGACACAAAACCACTTCCTCTAAAACCCCCAACTATACCCCAAACAGTCCCTCCAAACCCGCAAATGTCCTATCATCAATAGACAAAATACACGATAATGTGTCAATTCACTCCAAGAAATACACACTACCCATGCCCCTCAAACTTCCACCACGATTCAAACCTCTCATCCCCTCAACCCCCTAAACAAAAGACACAATCCCCATCACTCAACCCTCATATTCCACATCTCGACCTACAAAACATCACACCAACACACCCTTTTCATCTCACCACACACCGAAGCAGATTCTAAATATCTCATTTCCCCCAAATCAATAAGACAACAAAAAATCACAGAGTCCACCTCCTCCCCACGAATTTCACAATTTCTCGTCTTTCTTTGAATCGGTAAAGTCTAGAAAAACCCTGCCGCAAAAAATCAGGAGAGAACACGGCATCACACACAACCAACACTCTCAAAAAGATCATAGATATAAATATGTATATTACTACCTTATCTACCCTATCTACCACCCAACCATCCGAAATCTCTTCCACGCCAAATCTCATCCACGCTAAATCCCCCCTTCCAGATCAAGATTGAGTTCTGATTAACCCATTTCCCTTCATAGCCATAGCCTCTCATCTATATCCCACAATCTCTCCCCTTCCCATACAATCCCAAAAATATACAACCCACCCACGTATCCCATCCCATCCATCCATTCACCCCTTCCCGAAAAAAGCCCAATTAAATCCTCCCTTCCCCCAAAACCCAACATCCCCCTCCCCCCCACACACCACCTAGATTGCACAACTACTATACTTCCAATCCACTCCCCAACACAAGATGATCATATAACAAGCCAGACTATACTTCATTCCAAAAAAAGATATAATATGATGCGAAATTTCGCATTCAAAAAGGAAAAAAAAATCAACCTTCCCTATACGTTCTTGGGTATCTTTCAAATCTCTTACTGTTCGTTACGCGTAAAAATCTAATACCACACCCGTGTCCGCCCCCTCCCAAGCAAGCACCCCAGCACCCCAGCACCCTAGCCCCCAAACCCCGACTTTTTGTCCCCCATCCCCCATAGTATCACCTGGCGACGTAAAAGGCGCCGATGTGTGTTTTAACTTGCCTCAGTCATCATCCTCATCCATATTACACCACGGATGTTCCAGGACCCTTTCTATTGTGATTCTGGACTCGACGTCGCGATCGAGCATGGCGCGGATGAGATCGATGCTGTCTTCGCTCATGATGTACGGGATTCGGAGATCGCGGTCCATGATCTCGTCGATACTGTAGAAGGGATTCTCCTTGTAGATGATGGTGTATAACAGGATACCCAACGCCCATACGTCTTGTTCTTTGCCGCGATAGGACTTGCCACCAAGGACTTCGGGTGCTGCATAATCTATGTAATGTTAGTTATCGCCTTATTAGTCGCAAGAGACTACCTTACCTATTGTACCCACAAATACATCAAATGGGCCATTTTTGATATATGCAGCGCTTCCAAAATCAATGAGCTTGATATTCCCTTCGCCATCTAGAACGACATTCTCATCCTTGATATCTCGATGAACAACGAGGGCTTTGGTGTGAAGATGATGGATGGCCCTGGCGACCTGTACAAATATGCTGCGACATTCGTTTTCTTCCATGTTGACACGGAGCTCGATATAGTCAAAAAGATCCATCCCCGGAAGACCATGTGGAAGCATTTCAATATAGTAATTGGTATCATCCTCAAAGAAGTCGTTCATCTCGACGATGTTGGGATGTTTCAGTCCCTCTCTTCGAAGATAATCAAGCACGTGAATTTCGAGTGGAACAGTCCCCAATCTTCGATCTCGAGTCCACGTGTCAACGAGGATGCGCCGTTTCGTAACATACTTGAGAACCATCTTACGATTACCGTCTTTCTTATAACGTGCGAGCTTAACTTGACCGTAAGCACCTTGACCCATTTCTTCTAGTATCACAAAATCCTCAATTGTCTTTTTCTCGACTGGGGCAATGTCTTTGACTTCTGGTTCTGTTTTCTTTTCGCTTGGAGTTGACGAATTGCGACCAATAAGTTTCTCGGCAGTCTTTTTGGCTGCAGCTTTCAATTGAGCAGTCAACAAAGAAGCATGGGTTTGCTCCTTACGAGGACCTTCCGCATCAGAATCCATATCCATGGGACTTGAAGCTTCTGGTTGGCCAGGAGAAGGTTGGTGCAATGGCGTTTGAACTCCTGAAAGTAACGGTGAACCGGCTCCAAAACTCTGCCTTGACGCATGGATATGACGAGAATAAGTGATCCATAGAGCGTAGACGAGCTCTGGGGAAGGCATGTGAGGCGCTTCTATGGGCGATTTGTTGTCTTCTTCGTCGCTTCGTTCCTCAATGACATGTTCGTCAATTATGGGTGGGTTGCTCTCTGATTTCACGACTCTTAACTGGGCGTCGATCTTAATCTCACTCCCGTCTCTGTGTTTGGCACGGAGCCCATCTGGACGTAAAAAGTATGACGCAGCATCTGCTTTGCCATCTCGTAATGCCAGAAATGCCCTAGCTTTTCGAAAACTATGTTCGGGAATAACAATACCATCGACAAGTCCTATTCCATCCTCATCTGTAAGAATCTTCAACATGCGATCAAAGTCAGGGATGAGATCGGTAATGGGTCGTCCATCAGGTTTCTCCTGTCCAAACAACGCAGCGGAGAACACTGAATTTGAGCTTGTAATCTCCAAAGTTTTAGACGATAAGACCATGATACCTGCAATGTGAGGAAAGCTAGATACTCGTAGATCCGTATTACCTTCGACTCTTTCCACCTTACACGGAATATTCACACCTCCCGAATTGCGAGCTGTGAAGTACTTTCGCTTCACCACTTCAGCGTAATCAATCTCTCCAGTCCCAGAAACCATTCCCTGACGAGGTATCTTTGGTAAAAGCTTGCCAATGTCCATGCCCACTCTCGTGATATCTTCGCCCCAAAGTGGACCTGTGGATCCAGTGATTTTCGTCACTTGGGCATCTTCGTCAAGCGACAGAGTAGCAACATCTTCATGGATCTCTTCAAGCACCCAAATCAGTCCACCTCGCTTTTCCTTGACCCAAAGACTTGCCGAGCCTGTAGCTCCATTCCTCTTCTGAATAGGAACCACATCACCACACAGCAGGACACCTCGAGATTTATTCGCTGGATGGAACAGCCCGCCCTTGGTATTGTTGCTTTTCACCAGACTCGACCCTGCTCCATCGTCTGTCTGGGCACGTTGCGGTTTCTTTTGTGAGGCTCTCGAATTTGGTCTACTAAGAAGGGCGGCAGTCACTCCACCACTTCGCATTAAGAAAGAGGTAGGACTCGGAGCTTGACTACGGCTTGGTGGTGGGGGCATTTGTGTCTTGGGTGATTGTTTGCCGCTGTCGGCCTGAAGGTCGGCCATTGGACCGGGTGAATGTAACTTGTCTTCCAACCATGCTCTCCTTTCTGGTCGCACTACCTCTAAAATACCTATTTTGCGAACTTCGGCTTTAGTAACACCGAACACTAAACAAGCGAGATCGTTCGCGGCCAAAATCGTATATGGTGCAGCACTTTCCGTGGTGAATATAGCTTGGGCAGCGGGCGCCCACCTCGATGAATGGCCATGTACCGCTGGGCCGACAGGGTGGAAGCCGGTCATTCCTATCGAAGCCGAAGCATCCCGTGCGGATTGAGGAACAGTTGGGGAGAGGAGTCCATCGTGGGGATCGCCAGCGAGGTATGGTTGTGCCAAAGCGTCCATAAGCTTGTGCTGTAAGGACAGCGGAGCAAGGTCGGTGTAGGTTCTTTTCAGGCTCTGCCTTCGAGTGACGGGAGGTGATGTTTTCGCAGTCGTTCCGCTCTCGTTGGTAGGTGTCCTTGAAGAAGGTTCTGACTCAGGCTGCAGAGGTACGGCGTCATCCTGTGCATCTTTTTGGAAATCTCCCTTTGGTACCTCTACATTCGAAAAAGTCTTCCGCAGTGATGTAGGTGAAGTGCCTTCAAGATTATCCGGACTGCTCGAACGCCGTATAAAACTTGCATCGAAAATATTTCCAGAATCCTCGATCAAAGCAGGTCCCGTCAAGGGTCCCGTCAAATGTGCCTGGCCAGATCCGGCGATATTATTCGCACCCACTAATTTCGCTCTTGCCAACATTTCCAACATGCCCTGCATCTCTTGGTCTCCATTTAATCGAGCTTGCGCACTGGCAATGCCTGCATTTGCGTTTCCCCATCCCAGCTTCTGCGACATGAACTCCACGGACCGTTTCAACACATTTTGGCGGTTATGGATATACTCTTCGGACTGATGAGCAAAGGAGAACGAGTGCAGTGACTCTGAAGGGAATCGAGTGAGATCTTCTGTGAAATTTAGTGTCGGGGAGGAAGGGCCGGAGGGAAAGGCCATGGAAGGCGTCCGAGAATTCGCGAGAGAAAGAGTCGTCATAGAGGCAGATCGTGGCCCTATGGAACCGCTTCGCGATGGAGGTTCCGACGGAGTATTTGGCACGCGGGAAAGAGGCTGCTGCCGAATCCGTCGTAAACCAGAAGCGCCGAGGCCATGTTCGTGCTCTGTCAGGACTGGTGATCTGAGAGGGAGAATGTGTCAGCCTTTATGAGCTACATTCCCCGGAGCATCAGAGACATCAGGTGCGTCGTGAAAGCCACGCCTCTGCCGCTCCCGTCGCACATGTTACTAACCTCGACATGGAATCATGTTCTGCCGCCGAAATTCCCGCGTCAAACGAGAATCGAATTCGAGCTTTTTCTGGACCGGATGGGTTTCTCGAGGAGTATGCAAGGAGGTTTCCCGTGCTTCGGTTCTTGGGAATGACTAGATCACCTGGAGATTGGGGTTTTCGACCCCGCGATTCTTCTGCTTGTGTGTCGAAGTCTGCGAATGGACATAGATTAGCTTATGCTCGTATTTACATGGAAGAAACACGATATCAGTCATTGAGACTTTTGATAAAGGAGATGCCGGTGTGCCTTTCTGCTATGCGCTTGGTTGTGCGAATGCTGGTCTGGTGACTATTCGCGCAAAAACCTCAAAGACAAAGATATCCTACCATGATCAGTCGTGCCATCTGGCTCCACCATACTTGAACTCAGTGTGCTCGGCTGGTGAGACTCGCAGACTCTGAGGTGAAATTTGGCTGTGGGAAGGTTTGTGGTTTGTGGAGACAATGCAATGAGTTGAGGGAGGCGGCTTTGTTCTGGGAGCTCCGGAGCTCTCGTCTGCAACAGCACCGTATCTGCCGTCGTTCCTGGGCGGGAGAGATGCTGTGCGTGAATAAATCTGCAGATTGAAGTGGTGCAGGACTGCTCGGGTTGATACCGCAGAGTGCTCGACGACAGTCCAGAATATCAAGCGCAGGTGGGGCACAGATGGTGGATTTGGCGTACGTCTACGAAGGAGACGGTCTGCTATTGGAGGGGTTAATCGAGCGCGAAATCCAAAAGCCGATTACTCAATTCCTTTGCCGGTCGTTTGGCGACTGGCCGAAGACTCACTGCGACTGACGAGTGGTAGGATGTCAAGAGCGTGAGAACGGTGTTGTGAATAAGAATGCTGATGGAAAAGTAATCTCCGCTCCTCCCACCAACAACACGTGCGACACAAAAGTCTAACGGCCTGGTGATGCAGCACAATACAGCTGGACAGGCTCCAGGGACGGACGCTAAACGGCGGGAAATTAGAGATGAAATGGAATAGAAATGCAAGTCGTCGAGGGTACAAGAGTCGTGTCGTGTCACCATCTCACGGTTGTGCGAGTACCTAGGTATAGGCTGGTACAAGCACAGTCATCAAGCTGGTCCCTGGCTTTTCTTTCATGAGCTTGCGCCGTCTGAAGATGTTTCCCCGCCAAATCAAGGGACGCGGGGTTCAATATCACGATAAACTTTTCTCAAATGTAAATAACAACATTGACTTTATTACACCTAGAGCTGCTATTCAATTCAAATTCACACCACGCATTTCCATTCTCTCACCGACTCATTCTCTTGAGATCAAAAACCTTGGAACAGATTTATGTCTATCACGTGGAGAATATACTTTCATTCCGACCCACCAAAACCGGGGCAAATCTCTTGGCTTCAACCTTGGATATGCAGGTCTTGTTTGCATGATTCTCTGTTGTCACAATCCAACTTTACTTCCAAGGTTCATAGTTGATGCGGGACAGTATGTCATTCCCGCTCTTTTGGATTGTGTAGCAAGGTACCAGATCATTGTTAGTAATGATAGATATATCTCCTTTGCCTGTGCTAGTAGTTTCCAGTTTATTCAATTTATTCGAGAATTTTGCTTGTGGCGCTGGAATAGTCTTAGGTATTTGGTTTGAGTAGCTTAGAGTATTTCCCCAATCCTGGTTGTGGATCTGTTCGATGTATAACACTCCACTCACCTGAACGACATTGTGGTTGATATCCTGGCTGGCCTCACCTCATCTCAAGATATGCTACAGTACCAGCTAAAAGCAATTTCATGCCCTTCTCGATAGATGATCCAGGCTCATATTCCCCAGAGCAACGAAGTCTTTCAGGCGACATTCCATTTGTGCGACAATAGGGATCAGGTGCTTGATTGAAAAGACTTACCGTCTAGCAGCGCCGTCTACACTCGAGAGAAGTCGCAGTGTCTAGGATCGGAATTTGGTAGTCCCAGATACTCGATGCTGATGCGAGGCCAAAATCGATATGTGGGATTGACAAGGAAAAACTTGTATAATACTCACTTCCTGTCAAACCCGTTGGGCTGCAGCATTGTGAAGTGTCGATCGATATCGTTCGAATCCTCCTATCTAGTGAAATGCCCTTCTCCCACAGCTTACGCGTAGGCATCCTGTTCTCTTTTACCATCCCACGCCATTATGGACAAACTATGGCGGTCCCGTAATAATGGTCGGTCGAAGTGTAGGTACTATGCCGGTTTCTTGAAAACCATGATGGCCTTTGTTACGTAGATTGCGCATAGGAGCAAGTAAGAAACGCAATAAACGACTTGTAGTAATCTGCCATTCAATACGGCCGGCCGCATTCAGTTTACGCCATTTCCCTTCAGAATTTATCGATCATTCGATAATTCAGCCTTCAGACCAGACTTCAGCTTGCCGACGTAACTTGTGGAGAGACTGTTGTGCTAAAAGGAATGCGCTCTGCAGATTCGTCTGACAAAGCTAAGGTAGGGTCTGCATTTCGATGAGTATAAGGTCGTGGAAGATTCGGTATGGTTTTCGTTTGGAGGTAATGATGGAAAATTGCTAAAGTCTGCGATTAAATCAAGAACTTTACGATCAAGTAAAGTCAGCACCAGCATTCGAAGCTTCACCCGAACTAGTATTGAATGTTGTCCATGGCCACAAGTAGATATCGACCGTGATAGAAAGTTTTACTTACATCTTCCTCATAGAACGCTTTTCCATCATTTGCTTCATTCAATGCGGTACCAGCGAAGGAAGGAAGTTCTTAAGTTAGCCGCCCTTGTGCGAGCTAATTCTTGTACGCCTGAAAGGACGAGATGGGCTCTCGCACCTGATAAGAAAGAAGGCAAGGAATCATACTCGAGTGGCTCGAACGGCAGCACTACTGGCTGCATTTGCGACCGGCTTGATAGATCCGAGATTCAACTGGGCTTCAGCTGCCAATGAAGCTGCGCCCAGCTGTTGACAGGCCTGAAGCAGATACCTGCTTTGCATCGTCAACTCTGCACTGTACCCCGAGTGTAGAATGCACCGGCATATGGCCGTGCTGGCCCATCGTACGAGGCCTTGAGGGTAGAAATGGTTGGCATCATGATGCCTAACCAATTAACGTCTTTATCAGTCGAACTCTTCATTTCTTCTTAACCGCGTTATACCTTAGTGCCCCAGCTATTGCGATGATTAATCTCAAAAGTGATTGAAGTGATGACTGTGGGCAATAAATGCGATTCACTATGGAATGTCGTGAGGCGATAACTTTTTCCCGTGTCTCGTTCGACTCCCACACATGGAATCGGCGATGAAATGGATCAAAAAGGATCGGTAGTGCAGATCTGTGTCCAGTAGATCTCTTAACGTTATTCGTCAGAAGTTCTAAACTCAAACTGATGGAAAATGTGAACCTTATTAGCTTGTGATGACTTAAGATGATTGATGTCTGAATTCGTTCCCGGATTGGCTGGAATTTTCCGACCACACAAGAGGGTTCTGATGTCCAAAGGTCTCGGCCACGCCTGATCGATCTACTGGGCTGTTTCGATTATGGTATTTGTAAAGTCTGTTGTACTGTAATTCTAACAATCGAGAGAAATAAACCGAATAGTGGTTGGTTTCCGTTAGAAGCAAGCCATATCATGGCAGCCGTTTAAATTCAACGGGACCAGCACATGGGCTGAACACGGGTCAGACCACTTTTTCAAAGTCCAGTGCAAGCCTGCAGAAAGAATCAGCGTCTTGGCCTAATGTCGACGAGGCGTGCTGATAGTTAAAGTATAAGACGATTGACGGATGGTGAACTGTCTGCCCTTTCTTTTATGATTGCAACGGGGGCCCAGCTCTTCCAGGCACTGACCTCAGGAAATCCAGAAGTAATGCCGACAACAATTGCAGAAAGAGAGTCTCAATGATTCGGGGTACAGCAATATTTTGTCATCTGCTAAAAGCCAGCTTCTGCAGATAGGGATCTTCAGATAGGGACATTCGTCCTATCGCAAGGAGGTAAGACTGCACCGCCTCCGATTCATGTGTGACACAAGAGAATGTTGAATTGGTTCTTCATATTACCTCGAGGAAAAGCCCTTGAAATTCCCTAATGGAAGAGTTTAACCCGTCCTAAGAGCCAGCAAATCGTGTGCGAAAGCACATTGGAAATGCCATATGCTGGTCGTCTGTAGTGCGTTGTGGAACATCGCATGTGGAGTCAGCACGGTTTTCAAATACAATCCCTTTTGAACAATCCATGCCCAGGTGTGTGAGGTTACCTAGTTGCAAGATATAGATTACCCAGACCCAAAACCATCATGAACACTCAGCAGGTCGTTCGATCTCGATCATTTTCTGTGGACCGAGACGCATGGTGATAGCGAAGGAGGCGGAAGAGCACATGCTCAGATGGAGACGTCTGCAGCGTTAAGGCGGCATGAAGAGGCAACGCTGTCTAATGGTATACTGAAGAACTATTCCGTGGAGGTTTTGCGTTTCGTGGTCGTAACAGTTCCTTTTCGACCGCTGGGGTTAAAGGGGAGCGGGTAGGGCCACGCGAGCCCTCGGTGCGACCTAGCAGAGTCCCCCACAGAGGCGACCGCTCGAAAGTCGCAGCACACCGAACTTGCTGCTTTCAGCATGTGGGGATCTTTTCAATTCTCTCAAAGTCAAAAATAAATGTTTGTCGTCAAGTGCTCCTCATGAGTCAAGTATACGGAGATGGAGATCGTTGAGCACGGTAGAGAAGATCTTGTATAGAACAGGTCGTTCGCCCGGTCGATCAATCGAGGTTCCGTCGTCACTTGGTTGTTCAGCCACACTCTCATCGTCCGAAGCCACATGGTATCAATGTATTTCGAGAATACCTAGGTAGGTACTGGGAGTTGCACATGTATTACGAGCATTATCCGTCCGGGATTCGACTCCGTAGGTGATGGATGGTGATTGATGCCAGATCGGTTCATCTCTTGAAACACTCATGGTCGGACGAAACTATTGCATCGACGTACTGTCGAAGCTTGTTGGGGCATATGTTTGGAAGGTACTGTAAGGTAGCTGCCATGTGTGAATTGCCGCAGTTGCAGAGCTGTCCAGCATGGGTTCGCCACCAGTTGGGATCCAGGCTACTTTTGTTTCCAGTACTGTCTAAACTACCGCGTATTCGTCTCTATCCACGAAGCTAGCTTAGGTCCCAGGGCTACGGCATCAGTGACAGTCTTGGGCGAAAGTCCACTCGGACTCAGTGCGCAATTGCGCAACCATGACCTACATCCCTTGTCCGTATATTTGAGGTATCCATCACATCCATCAGCCGAGGCCGATCTCAAGCGTATTAGTACACAATTCGTTGTGCTGGGGTTGCTGCGAGTTTTTCGTTTGTTTTGTTGAGCAAGAGCTCCTCCACGAGAAGAAAAGAAAGAAGAAGATTTCGCCACTGTTGTGGTCGAGCTTCGTTCGCTGTGCTGCATCTAACGGAAGAGGCTCCGGGCCGAGGAGATCCGTGGTGCGGGGAAGCTAGGCGTTAAGAGCAGCGCGCGACCGCAGACTAGGCTTTACTCACTTTGACCACAGAATTCCATTATTGACAGCAGAAAATCCAAGAATGACTTTGAAGTATTCTGTTGATGCAAGCCGCGGTGCCTTCGCATCTCAATCATGGCCCATTCTGGAACGACAAATATCGCGCTTAGCTGAGTCTAGACCGACCGCTCTCGGCAGCTTTTCTGTACACATCATTCGATGTCGCTTAGCAGAATTGTGTATCGGCAGCCCCATCTCCCGTTCGAATTGTTCCTTTTGAGCTTCGTTTTTCCACATTCAGCAAAACCTCCATCGTCGCCCTCATCCCAGCGGGACGGAGGAAGCCAGCATCGCTATCTCACGAGCTGCACGCGCTCAGTCTGCTAAAAATGGACGGACGATGAGCTTGTATTCCAGCATCCAAGTTTCACACGTCGACAGTCTGGTCCTGGTTCGCCACCGCCCCAAACGGCCTCGATCGTTGGTTAAGCCACACGCTGGGTCCATGCCGACCCTGCTTGGGGGGGCGACAAAGCTCACCTCCCTTGCTCCATGTCCGGAATCCATGATGGGATTTCTGAGAATTCCATGGTCGGACGCCGCTAAAGCAGCCACACCACCAGAATGTCCCATCAAGAGAAGTCCTGGGATCACCAACGGCCTTTCCGTCGCTCAACAAACCGCATGGCAGAGAGCGTGCCGGTACCTTTGGAACCGTCTCCTCCCTGCTGGTGGCAGCACCGCCCACTCGAGAAAATTGGTAGCTTTTCGATGGACTGCTACATCCACTGTCATCCAGCCTCCATGGAACTGCTCAAACGCTTGCTACTGGCCGACCCGCTGTGTGTCTGAACCATGCCGAGCAGTGGGCTGGCTGCGAGCAACGAGCATATCAGGAGGGACACTCCAGTGATCCAGTAGGACCCCTACCAAGGGTCCTCGGGCACCCTGTCCTCTGTCCAGCCCACTTGACCTCCAGGACTTTTAAGGTATATTATAAATATCTTCGGGACATGGTTTCGCTGCTCTGTCACCCAAACAACGTGAGTTCCCTTCTTGTTGATCCCAGGGCCTCTTCCATCATTGACATTATCTCCATCTTCTTGTGCCTGACGATCATTGCGTATCCTCCAGTCCCAGCCAGCAAACGTCCCGAAATACAAATAACGTCGTCCGTCGAGATACATATTTATAGCTGGTCATCTCTTCTTGCATTCAGGCCTGGCTCTTCCAGAATTCCCATCTTCCAATCACAGCGGTGCCCAGAAGACCTTTCTCGGGACGGCGCGGTTGTCTTAAGAGGACCTGGCATCTAACATTACTGGTGAGTACCCAATCACCTTGCTGATGCCACGTACCGTGAGAGGCAACTGATGCAGTGACAGGCTGAAGCCCTAACAAGGATTAGACAAGAAATCTCCGGCTCACACAACTATTCGGGACCTTTGCCTCCTGGTACGTTCGCTCGTCCTTTGGTCATTCAAAAAGTGCCCTTCCTGTCGTCAAGCTAGATATCTGGCCAGACCCAACTCATTCGTTAGAAGCTTCACCATCTTGGTCACCTCGCAGCTCATAGCTCAGATTGTTGCCGTCTGTTTTCGTTCTTGACAAAACAGTCACACCCTTAACCACATGTTCAACTACACTCGTTTACATTTTTAGAAATAGCGTTCTACACGACTGTCATTTTACTAGTTGCGCATCGGTGTACATGGGCCGAAATTGAGCAGTGACTGATATCTCGGTTTTCGATAGCTATCAAGTGGACCTTCGCAGCGGAAGTTTTCAAGAACTATTTGCTCCTGTTGCAACTCTACATTCTATCTTCGTGAGCTTCATCAACAGTTCGCCTTGCTATTGAGCCTCGAAGCTAACCTGTGTCTGGCTATCTAGTAATATAAGTTATATTCGGGTTGACGAAGGATCTATGGGCGACAGTCCAACTGGTTCATTCCGCGGGGGAAAACCTACGAATGACGCTCAGAATATGAGAGCGAACGATGCTCATACGCAATCCATCGCAACTGATTCCGACTTGAGAATGAGCCAACAAACTATTCCAGCGCATATGGCTCAGGCCGCCAGCTACAATCAGCAACAGTCATTTCCCGGACATTTCGCCTCACCACTTCGACCTGACGCTTTCAGTATGGGAAACATAGGAGCGGCGTTGCCTGAAGTCCAATATCACAACTACCATAACACGACTGAGCAACAAAGACAACAAGTCCATAATGCGCCCAACTATCAAATGCAAGGCATGACTCAATTCAGTGGACAGCAAGCTCAGGGTTCATCAATTCCGAGCATGCCATATTCGGTGCCATACCAAAATCAATTTCCGGGCATGTATTCAGCACAGCACGCTACACCACAACATGTTCAGTCGTCACCGAATTCCAATGGCCAATTCTTCCAGGGCCAGGGTTACATGGGTCAATTGCCGCAGCAACAGCAAATTCCTCCTTATTTTGTGTCGTCTGCACAGTACGGACACCATGGATCTCAGATGTATCATTCGGGGGTGGTGCCGAGTGGCGTTCGCGGTACATTTGCTGATAGCAGACAATTAAGTCCACAAGTCAATGATTTCTCTGGAGGCTTTCCAAGAGCGGGGAGCCAGGGTCGGGCAGGAAGCATTGGTATTATTCACTTTCCTTTCCATGCAATACATACTTACGTATAGCAGCCTCAAGTGTTGGTCACTCTTCGATCGTACGGGGTCCACCAAGAAAACCTCGCCAGACTGGTATGTCCCTAGTAATTCCGAAACTCTCCGTTTTTGTGGCTGACAACACCGAATGAACAGGTCACGCAATATGGATTGGAAATCTACCGCCGCAGACAGAGTTGATGGCTTTGGTTTTTCATGTGTGCAAAGAGGCCCCTGGATTGGAATCTCTCTTTCTTATTTCTAAGAGCAATTGTGCTTTCGCGAACTTCAAGGATGAACCCACATGCACCGCAGCGCAGGTGAAGATACACGATTCTCGGTTTCAATCGATCAGACTTGTAAGTCGTCTAAGGAGGAGTTCTGTAGGATCGGCAGCTGGTATAGTTGCTCCTACTGGCCCAGCAGCGTTGAATCCTCCTTCGAATCCAGTGGTGGCACGCACTCCTTCCCCAGATAGCGCAGATACATCGAGCAAAGTTCCCGACCAAGATGGAGAAAATGAGCAACGTGCAGATGAAAGTGCCACTGTGAAAGACAAGTACTTCATCGTGAAAAGTCTCACAGTTGAGGACCTCGAGCTTAGTGTTAGGAACGGCATATGGGCAACCCAATCGCATAACGAGCAGGCACTCAATAAAGCCTACCAGGTAAGCGGATATTCCTCCAACCTCTACCAGTATCTGAACTAACAACTCCAGTCCACCGAAAATGTGTACTTGATATTCTCGGCCAATAAATCCGGCGAGTATTTTGGTTACGCAAGGATGACTTCCAAGATCAACGATGACCCAGCAGCAGCCATCGAATTTGCCCCTAAGCCACAGTCCGTTGAGGACCCTGACCTGCCCAAAGCGATAGCGACAGCCGCAACAGAGTTTGCCCCGAAAGGACGAATCATAGATGACTCGGCTCGAGGAACTATATTTTGGGAAGTTGAGAGAGATGACGAACCGGATGAGGAGGATGATGAGCAAAGTACACGAAGCGATCCCGAATCAGAGACCGCCTCAAAGGCTTGGGGTAAGCCTTTCAAGATTGAGTGGGTATCTACTATGCGACTTCCCTTCTACAGGACTCGCGGACTACGGAACCCATGGAATTCGAATCGTGAAGTCAAGATCGCTAGAGACGGAACGGAGTTGGAAACTTCTATTGGTCGTCGACTTGTTGGACTCTTCCACCGGCTTCCAAGTCCAACAGTACCACAAACCCCAGATGGTGTAATGCCCATCCTTGGAGGTTACCCTCAGATGCGTCAGTATTGATTAGATATGGGGAGAATCATTGACAAGTAATGGTAATGTCATGAGAGATTAACATAATGTAGTAGTAGTACGGGTACGGGCGACCCAATTGAGCAACATCGACTTTGCAGGACATTGCGCAACAAAAATTCTATTCTTGGGCCGCACTTGGGAAGCAGATGGGCCTATCAATAATGATTTATGAGAGGATTGATCTCACGATGGGATGAATGACGGATCGATTCTGGGGTTTTAACTTGGTCAGATATTTTTCATTTGGTGCGACCTGCATAGCAAGCCTTTGCATAAAACGTGAAGAATTGGTTATACTTTCTTCGTGTACATAAAAGGATCCTAGAAGATAGTTGTGGAATATAGTAAACGTTAATTCCTTAATTCGATACCTTTTCGACGTTGCTTTTTTGGGTTTTGCCACCCGGATGCTCTGCCCCTTTGATCGACGGTAAGCGAGCCAAAAATTATTTTGGTGCACAGCCGTGACGTCCAGCTTGTGGCAACGGTTTGCATGTGAGGATAAGATTCCAGTAACGATGGTTCTATGAGCGTGACTGCATGAGTGATACGAAAGTGCTGATTCCGGATACTATTCATTTCCACTACTCAGACAGGCTTGCAATTTTACCATTCTGGCTGACGTGATGGCTAGGAATAGTTACACGAACAGTGTTCTCAGTTTGGATTGCCTTCCGAATAAACTTGATCAGATATGGGGAGTGAGACATGGTATTCATGTAAGAAGGTATACATGATTTTCACTACTACTTCCAGTCAGCATCTGATATTTCGATCTAGATCCCGAACGGTCATATGACTGTGAAGACATGGGTTATCCAGATTCTCAAATTTGAGGATTTTCATTCACTATTTCCATGTCAGAATGGAAGGTGACACAAAAATGCTACTGCCTAATCTTTTACGGAGGCTATAAGATGGTGTTGAAAGCTGGGAGGTACTTCTCTTCCCTGCTGAAAGTGGCATTCAATCACCACTGCTGATCCGATCAAGCTTCATCGTGGAGTTGATTCTGAAAGTTACTTGCTGCTTTGAGCGGACGTATATCAGTCACCGGTACAATCTCGACTTTGACTCAACTCAATCGGTCCGCGATGAAAATTTCGATCATAACAACCTTCAAGTCGTTTGCTGCCTAGAGCTCCGCTCGATCGCAGTTCAACGGGCAACCCTTAGAACCACTCTCTCACTCTCAACCTTCGAGCAAAATCAACAGTATCGTATTTCCACCTTCACAAACCTCACCTTCACACAACGTCTCATTCTCCTTCCCACCACCACCCTAATGATCACCCCAGCCTAACACCACACCGCACATGGACCGCGTCAACGACATCCTCAGCGACCTTGAACTGAAATCGCGCGCCCACCCCAAACCAACCCCCTACACCCGCCTCAACATGTTCTGTCCCCGCTTCGACGTCCGCGAAACCGCTTCCGCCTACGAACTCCACGGCGAGCTGCCGGGCATCGTGATGCGTGATATCAATATCGAGTTCACCGAGGACCAAACGATCACGATCCGCGGGAAGATCGAGCGGTTATATGAGAAGGACGAACGGAGATTGCATATCCCTGGTATTGATAAAGGTGTGGAGCTTCCTAAGGACGGTGAGGAGGAGGTGAAGGAGGTGAAGACGAGAGAGGAAGTATCGGCCGATACGGCGAGGGCGATTGCGGAGGGTGGGAAGTACTGGTATCATGAGCGTCAAGTCGGGGTGTTTGATCGCAGTTTTAGTTTCCCGATTAAAGTGCTGAAGGAGGATGTCGAGGCGGAGATGCATAATGGGGTGCTCAGTGTTATCGTGCCGAAGTGGAGGAAGCCGGCGGGGAGGAAGATTAGGGTTAGGGCGGTGGAGAGGAGTAGAGAGCATAGCCGTGAACGAGGTCTAGCAAGAGGGTTTAGCAGGGAGCAGAGTCGCGAACGGCTTTCACGGGGGGTAAGTAGGGAGCAGAGTCCGGTGAAGGAGAGGAATCATAGTTGGGAGCCGGCTGAGAGGAGGGAAGTTAGTCGTGAACGTCTATCCCAAGGAGTAAGTAGAGACAGGACACCCGAACGAGGCGTGGAGAATACCGACGACCGGAAAACCCCCACCAAACTCGAAAAAAGAGTTAGTTTCTCGGACGGAATGCATATGCGAGTCGCGCCACCTGCTCCGGAGGTTCACACGGCGTCGGATGATACAGATTATGAGGTTCAGAGGGTTCCGTCGGTTTTGAAGGCTGGTGGGATGGGGTTGAGTCGACGGAAGCCGGTGAGACCTAGTGAGAAATTGGAGAGGGAGGGGTCGAGGTTGAGTGGGTTTTTTAGGGGGGGTGTGAGGGATGGGTGAGGGTGAGAAAGACAAGGTAAGGAGGTAAAGAGATGTAATGGGGAGATGATGGGGATGGAGGGGAGGGAGAGGGGATGTGTGCTGATGATACAGAGCTCAGGCTTTACACATCTGCGCAGCAATCTGCCGTTAACAACAGTCTCATGTCTTCTTTTCAAAATACCTACTGTTTTGGAAAGTCGGGCAGGGCTTGAGAGGGGTGTAATGGAAAGTAGGGCGAGGAGGTGTAGTAGGGCGGTCGTATGTCCATCATGATGGTTTATGGCCTGAAGTGAAGGACTTACATCTGTGCAGCTTGATGATGATCTAATCTTTTCATTTTAAAAGACCTAATATTTTGGACATTTTCCTATGTCATACGGCTCTAATGCTTGTACATAGTCGACATAGCCATACCTGGAAATCTTGTGTGCAGAGTAGATCTTTAATGAATGTACAGTAATGAGCTGTTGCTCTAAGATAAGATTATAAGTAAAATAATGGAATTAAGATAACGAGGAAGATTATTATTTCATCCAGTTCCTGTCCTTCTAAGCAACTGTGGTCCGTCGTCCTTAAACTCTATAATTTCCATTTCATCCTACTTCTAACCTACAATCATCGCTGGCCGTTACGCAAACTCTCCATTCCCGTTATATTCACCGGGATATAAGACTACTTCTACCAGATGAAATCAGTTAAGTTATTAGTTTGGATATTATTAGTATCAGGAGTCTAGCGCTGCCAATAAGTAGAATTCAAGAAATAAAAGACACATCTGTAGGAAGTTTAATCGTCGTTAACGTAAAAAGGGGCGAGTTAGGAATTAAGCGAGAAACTAGACATGTTTCTTCGCTTGTAGAAGGAGCTTGCGGGGATATAATCTTACTATAGATTCTTAGTTGCTTGGTACGCTCAGAGAACTGTTTTATTAATAAATCATATACTCACAGAAGCCTATAATATTCTTCAAGTTAACCGCAGAGTTGTAAAATTATTCTTCACAGCCAACTTTCACAGCCGTCCACGGGGCGTGTTGTCTAACTCTAACTTCGCTTGTGAAATTGATCTATAATTTGTATAGCACCAGACAAACTACAGAGTTCTACTATCAAGTTATATTCTAATTCCTCCATCATCTTAATCCTACACTCTCCTCCGTCGCGTAAACATCCTAATTTGAAAATTGCAGCAGCATATAAAAAAACATTAACAATTATTTACAATACCATTCCAATATTCCAACAAATATCTTTAAGAAAATCTCACTTTATCCAGGACGATTCTCTCATCTTCCATCTCAAGTCAGCCAGTGGTGCACTAACATCACAGTATCATCTTCACAACTTATATTTTAAACAAATTTCCGAGTATTCTTGAAATTCTGGAAGGAACATTTATTGTATTTTATAATTAGTTATGAATCTTTATATGGATAGTAGCTAAATAATCAAAGCGTTCCGCGAAGCAATTTCGAGGGTAGTTGGCATTGGCTACGGGACGTTCATTATCCTAATTATCTGTTGCAAATTGTTCAAGGAAAGTGAAACTTTACGCTACTTACTACTCGATTCTTGCCGAATGTATTACACAGATTAAAAACGTGTTGCAGAGTTTCAGAAATATGAAGTATTGCGTGCTGATGTGGCATGTAGTTTCAATTAAATCTATTCTACCCGGGCATTTCAAAATCTGCACATCGGTAGTCTTTACTTGCTACATCCCATAGATCTCACCAGAACATTGCTGGTATCTACAAAAGCCGAGTCGCTGGACTCCTTGATACGCCGTTGATTCCCGCATTTTTAAGCCCCCCAAACTCCGTGTCATGCAATGTCGACATTAAAATCTTTCCTTCATTCTCGATGCCACAGTTCGTAGGTTTCCATACACCTTCCCTGGAGGACTTCCGAGAATCAAACTGACAATTGCCTCGCGCGCGATGTGAATATTCTTGAATCCTCCAAGGATATGGATCTTGGAATCGGCAAGCACTACTCTTGTCCTGCTAGCATTTTCGATCGCGAACTTCGTCTTTCCATCTTTTCCTGCTATGCGGCCGATAGCTCTACCCAGATGCTCTCCTTGTAATGTCTTTACGTCCTTGATTTCAAATGTCTCGATATATAAGTCGTCGAGTCGTAAAAGTGCAATCGCATCGTCGACGTCGAATCCTAAGCTGAATGCTTTTACGAAATCCTCTCCCTTTTGTAACGCCCCACTGTCTGTCGTGAATTTCGACGATCGTAGCTCTACAGCTCTATTCTTCACATTCATTCGGACCTGGAGTTTCAAGTGCTCGACAAGTGGTGGGTAAATCTTCGGCCATGAGGCTTTAAGAGGTGACATCCTATGTGGCGGTATTGGGACTTTACGGCTTTCTATCCTCAGAGGTCCATCCTGCTGCTATTAGTATTATGATACAATGCCCAGATTCAAATTTTCTCACAGATGCTTTCGCTGGCGCAAATCTTGGTCGCCCCTCTTCATCAATGTGCATCTCCGTATCTGCGTCGCCAGCAATAGGCTGGAGGGTATTTGTCTCCGATGTTGGCGCATCCAGTAGTAATTCATCGTCAATATCTAGAGCCGTCAGTATTTCTGCCCACTCTCTGCTAACTGCTAATGGGTCACATACTCTGATCTGGTAGTGGCACACTGACGGCTTCAGCAAGCTCTTCCGGGCGCCTGACAAGCGCTGTTGGGGCAGGCATTTTGGGTTTTAGATATTATTTGAATAACTCCCGTCGATAGTTGTATGAACTTATGTCTTCGAAGTGAGCTGATTTTGGAAATACGTGAGTTGAAAGTCGCTTTCTGAACGAATTGTACCGGCGACGTGGGGAACTGCGATTATATTTTTTTATCGCAAACTCCGATAAGTGGATGTTTTGGTGTTGCTTGGCATATGGTCTGTGCTTCTATGCATGTGGAATGGACCCGTTCGAGCCTCGCGCTCGCCAGCAGGAAAAAGATGGTCTAGAAAGCGTCATCGCAATACGACCATTTCATTTCCTTCATCTCCGCATCCAGACCGCAACAGCATGTCCACGAAAGAACACCGCAGTTCTTGACACTCGTTAAAAACCATCATGATATTGAGAATATGACGGCTATAACAAATACTCGGGCATGGTCCCGAATATGGGATCCAGGAAGTCGATTCTTATCAGTGAAAAAAAGTACGAACGGATATGGAAGTGCTTCGAGTTCTCGACACTTTTCGGCTCAGACGGCGAAGAAATCATTTTGTTGGAGTAAACCTCGATCGCAAAATGCAGCAATTAAAAGGACATCTGCCACGACGAAAAGCTTTGCATCATGCGGCTTTCTATTCATCAACGCCAGCCCCAACGCGAGCACAACTCCCTCGATGATGCAATGTGCTGCTACGGTTGAGAAATCCCTATACTCGAATACGACCGTTCCTGGACGATCGATTGCTTCACTCTCCCAGCAAGCATGGCGTAGGGAAATACACACGACAAGTCGAAGACGAAGGGGGCCGATTGCAAGAAGAAATACGAGCTCTAGTTCGAATGGAAAAGCCGGGCAAAAGATTACGCAGAACGAGAATAAGAAATCGGCTACACCACCACCATCTTCGTCGACCGAGAAATCCGGTCAGGCGAAAGACTCCCCACCTTCCGAGTCTCATGGATACCTTCATCTCCCTCATCTACCGCAGATGCCGCATCGGCCAACTAGAGAGGAGCTTCTCGCAGCAGCAACCGGATTTTGGTCTCGACTCAAAGTTCGTTTCAAGTGGTTCTCGATTCGGAGCACGCGACCTTGGAATATCGATGACTGGAGCGCATTTGCCTCGTGGTTCGTGCTGGGAAACATTGTCTGGGTCTTTGTTGGAACAACCACATTCTTTTCCTTGGTTATATTCTCCATCAATACCGTATTTGCACAAGGTAAGCTTGCACCACAATAGACGACACTATATTTGAGCTTACATAAATTAGAAACCCTGGCAAGATGGATAGGAGATTATTTAACCCATTCAGCGGGTATCAAGGTAGTATTCGAATCTGCAGTGGTACCAAAATGGAAAAATGGTGTGATTACGTTCCATAACGTTTTCATCTCGAGAAGACCAGGGCAGGAAAAGGCCAAAGTCAAGAAAGGCTCCTCAACGAGCGCGGCCGCCGAAGCTGCTGCGGAAAGACAAACCGACCTGGAAGCGAAAGCCGGAGAAGAAGAGGAAGACACCAACTACACCCAATTCGATCTCACCATCGGAACTGTCAATGTAACACTATCATTCGTCAAGTGGTGGAATGGAAAAGGGCTACTACGCGATGTGGAAATCAAGGGCATTCGAGGAGTTGTCGATAGGACTTCAGTGCACTGGGGAAGTGAATATGTTGATCCAAGGACGTTTCGCCATGAGCACCACCTTGGAGATTTCGAGATAGACTCTTTCAAGATGGAGGATCTACTGGTTACCATACACCAGCCGAAAGGCTTTCGACCATTTTCCGTCAGTGTGTTCTCTTGTGAATTACCTCAACTACGGAAGCAATGGCTTTTCTACGACTTTTTATCAGCCAATATGATGTCAGGAGCATTCGATGGCTCGCTTTTCACGATTCATCCACGTCAGACACATGGTCTTGCGGCCGCAAACCATGACGAGGAGGAGGAGGAAAGGAATCCGTGGAAGAAGCAAAGCAGATTGCGTATAGATGGTCTGAAGATTGACCACTTAAATCGAGGTGTCGACGGGCCCTTTGGTTGGATCCACGAAGGGAATGTCGATATTGTTGCGGATGTAATGATCCCGGCGGAGACGGATGACAGCATTGCGAAGGTTATGTCTGACTTTTACGACCGTATGGAGGCAACAGTCACCTCGAACAGATATATGCATATTCTCGAGAACAACCCTAGCACCCGAGGACTCAACACACCGGAACGAAAAGCTGCTTACGAAGAAAGATTGAAGCGCGACGACGACAAACGATTCATCGTAATGGATCTCCGAGTCCACCTAAACGATGTCAAAGCAGCGGTTCCGCTCTTCACCCGCGACCTCTCCTACATCAACCAAGCCCTCGTTCGACCAATCGTCGCATATATAAACTCTCAAAAGACGTTCATACCTATAAACTGTCGAATCGTAAAACGCGCCAGCGAATTCGACGGCAGCTGGACCATCTTTGATAGCGGACTCATGGAAGATCTGTCCGCTGAAACATACGAAGCATTCGCCAAAGATGTAGTAGACACCCAACAGCGAATGCGGAGGTTACGGAAGGTGGGGTTCTGGTCCATTTCTCTGGCTATTCAGGCCTTGTTTATGGGTATGGCGGGGAATATCGCGTAATGAACGGGCGAGGCACATCTTCTCTCATCCGTAATGACTGACTACTTGTATAAAATGGGCGTGTAACTTGTAGAGATTAGGTGGGCGGGAACGATATATACCTAATCTGGAGGTTTTGGCATGCTATGGAGTTTGGGCGCTTCGACGGCAGGGTTTGTAACGTATATAGATTTTTGCGGGATATAGAGGGTAAACGGTGTACTTGAGCAATGGGTTCTAGGGGGATACATATTTGCTCGATGTCTAATTATATACCAATTTCACTTCTAAGAAACTATACTTCACTCACGCTGTGACTTACATAAACCATTTGATTGAAAACTCGATATTTGAGTCAACACTTTTATCTCTAGACATAGAATTCCCTCGAGTTTCGAATCCCAACCAAGCTATATATTGTTAACTATGAACCTTCTTGGGGGGTAAGAGGTGTGAACTGATGTAGTGAGCATATAGGTGAGGAAAGAATATACTGAGTTGTGCTAAAGAGAGTACGTGAGCAGAGCTCGTACGAGGTGATATATATGAGAAAAGCATGGGAGTAGGCCGAATTAAGATTTTAGTGTGATGATAACTAAAACACCTTGTCTCACTAAGCCCCATTCCAACCAGCTCGACTACACCACACACCGCCAAGCTTTAACTCAACGATCCTTTCGTCTGCTGAAACCTTAAATCGTAAACAACCACAAGACTATAAAAGAAACAATGTTGTCTTGATTTACAGGTTCTATACTCGGGAAGAGTAAGATATGGATGGGGATTTTAGGTAGTCGTGAAATTTTGTGTCGCTGCAGGTTGGATTCTGAACCGTAATGTCAGACCAGAAAGTGTGTATCCCATGGATGAAGTAATCTACGTTTGGCTTATACCCGGCGTGTCCAAGGAGATTTTAGATATGGCGTAGAATTTCGCATGGATAGTTGGTGGTGATGGTGTTGGATTGTGGTTCAACGAAAGGTAGAATGAGAAATTCCGTGCTTTCTGGCTTTAGCAACAATCCAGGATAGAGCATTCAACCAGCAACTCAATATACGCGCACTCATATCACACACACACACGCACAATCCCCAAAGTCAAATACCTCAAGTCGACCACATTCATATTTCCCACCCCTATCTACCCATCCATTCCGAAATTGTATAACCATCCATCTCTTCCCTACTAAAAACCGGCAACAAACAAATCCCTTATATACCATAAACCCCCGCTAGCTAGCTAGCTACCCTACACCCCTATTTACTCATCTCCCAGAAACAAAACCCCCTCAAAGTTACTCCCACAAGCATTCAGAAAAGAAGAACTTAAAAATCTCCCGCAATCGCAGGTTTGAAGAAGAAGAAGAAGAAATGACCTCTTTCCGAGGTCTTCGAATCGCTAAATCGTAAATGTGAAAAAGAAGAAGAAGAAGAAAGCCACATGACACTCCCATTTATATCCCACACAATATCTTTTATACAACTACACCACAAACCGTTAACTAAGTTTTGGCGTCTGCACCGGCGTTTCGCCAGGCGGGAAGATTGTTTCCTCGGCAAGATCGTCGGTGATGGGACTAAACGCATCGACCTCCTCAATCTCATCCTCGTCTTCCTCTTCGATGATTTCGCCGCTCCTGCGTCCGGCTAAACTGGTGCTGCGGCTGTGACTGCCGGTTCTGGTACCACTGCCGCTGGGGCCAGGTGAGGACGTGTTGAGGTTGGGCCCTTTGAAGAGGTTCTTTTTGCGTTTCGCGAATACTAGGCCACCGCCGAAGACGCTGTTCGAGGAGCCGTTGTTGCCCCAAGATACTGCTTCGTTGAATGAGGATACCGGTGGCTGTCGCACCACTCGGATGTTGGAAGGAAATGAGCCTGTCGTCGGCGTCGCTGGGAGCACTTTCACGGAATGATGAGGGCTTCGAGTCGGCACTGAGATCTTGCTAGTCGAAACCGAGCCATTTGAGGAGGTCGAGGAAGCTTTGGAGTGGCTATGGTGGTGATGATGGATTGTCCGAATCGAGGAAACAGACGAAGACGTGGATTTCCGCCCACGCAATCCTGTGCTTGATCGTCGAAAGGCAGACCTAGGTGTTAATGGAGCCGGTGACAATGAATGCCGCTTATTGTTTGGTGTATTAAATACGCGCGGTATAGGAGGGTGACTCAGTGGTGCTGGTAGTAAAGGCGGTCTCGAAGTCTCGCGCGTCTTTGAAGTATTTGGCCGTGGACTCAGATCAGGTCCTGTCCTAGAACTGCCAGCCGATTTGGTAAGTAAGTCAGGCGTGGATTGAGTTGCTTTCTTTCCAGGTGATTTGGCACGTTTGGCATTGTCGAGTAGCCAATGCTTCCAATGAGCAAGTTGATTGATGAAAGCATGCTGGTGTTTCCTTCGCTGCGGTCTCGGTGATCCACCACCATTTGTGTGTGGAGATAATAAGTCTGGGTTATGCGTAACAAGTTGGAGTGTACTACCCCTTGACCTCGCGGATCGTAATAATCCCTCTTTAGGTGGAGGAATTGGTCTTCGATGTCGAGATGAACTTGCTGATCGTATCGAGTCCTTTTCGATTGGCGGAGGAGGATTTGCAACATCCGGAGAGTCAAGCTGAGCATTCTCTGGTAATCCTGGCAGACCCGTGAGAATCAGCTCTGGATAATGCGCACTTCGCCTCTCTTTCCTGCCTCTACTCCTAGGTGGCTCGCTAAGTCTGATTTCATGTCCCTCTTCATCTACACCGGTCAAGATCGGCGCCATGCGTTCTAAACGACTACTTGCTCCACTCAGTCTTCTCGATGCTCTGCTTTCGGATTCCCGTTCTCTCCGCTTCCTCTCTCTACGAATCTGTTTGCGTTCTTCCTTTTCGATAAGCAACGACCACCAGCCTGCCAGAGCATCACATCGCCTTGCTAGGACGTTCTCAATAACCTTGTCAATATCTACCCCTGCACTACGCATTCTTTCCAGAGTCTCCTTCTCCAGCTCAGTAGTGAATGGAGCCGGCTGCTGTATCTTTAGAATTGCTTGTTGCTGAGGCGCGTAGTCTGCTAAGAATGGATGGGTTAGAATATCTGACAAGGCTGGTCTAATAAGTGGCCGTTTCGAAAGTAAGCTATTCAATAATGACTTGGCGTCAGGCGTTATATGATCCGGCCACTTGGGATCGGCCGTCAATATCTTTGTTCTCGTTATATTGTCATCGTCGTCGTCGAAAGGCAGCTCGCCACATAGAAGGGCATACAAAATGACACCCAAACTCCACACGTCGACCTTTTCTCCAGCATACTTCTCCCCTTTCAGCATCTCCGGAGCGCTATAGCAAACAGTTCCGCAGAAAGTTTGAAGGTAGCTGGCTTTCCCTTCATATTCCCGTGTAAAACCAAAGTCAACCAATTTGACATTCTCGTTTTTGTCCAGTAGGATATTTTCGAGCTTCAGATCGCGGTGAACGCACGAAGAGTTGTGTACGTATGAAACCGCGCCGACTAATTGTGTAAAGATGCGCTGCACCTTCTCGACTGGTAGTGGCCCATGATTTAATAAATAATTGTAAAGCTCATCACCTGAGTAGCAGTCTCTTAGCAAGGCACTACAAGTGCAGGCGGCTCTGCTTACCAGGACAATATTCCAACACCAACCAGACCAAAGATTCCGTCACTATAACCTCGTACAGTCGGGCGATATGTGGATGGAGGAATTGACGGTGGTGGTGTATCTCTCGCGCGAGATTTGAATCGTCTTTGTTCGCTGATTTGAGCACAACCTACGCTGTCAGCATAAGAACTACACAGCCATACGACGAGGTCTTAATACCTTCGATCCATTTGTAAGTTTGTGCGATGCCAGGTACACTTTCCCAAACGAGCCCTTCCCAATCAAGCGCCCAAGGGAGTAGTTCCCCACCGTCCGGAGATCTTTCGACGAGAACTCTCTGCAAGGGAAATGATCAGTAGTTTTTCAGCATGGAATTGTCGCATCAGGGCGCTTACTCCAGTAGCTCATGATACGAGTTGGCAAGCTGAGTTATACGTCAGTTGATATTCTCATTGCATATCTCCGTATCCATCCAACACTCGCTCCTGCGCGCATCCTTCCACCAGAGCAACCAACCTTTGCTTTTCGACCTTGCGCTTCAGCCTTATTCCTTGCCGTCTGCATACCAGTCACCATTCGCGCCTCCCTCTACTATTGTGACAAGAGGCTACTCTGAGCCCGGACATCCAAGAAAGTCCGGCGCAATAGGGTTGCTCGGTTCTGGTGTTCGTCTCTGGGGATAGCTCTAGCGGTCTGCGAAAGGGGAAACGTTCGGATTCGAGGGGTTGTTGAGGGCGAGAATGGTTGTTCTGGAAGAGAGTGAAGTCTCTTAGTATATTCGTCTGAGCATGGAGCTTGTCCGTAATCGATCTGGCTGACAGATTTGTACAGGGCGACCAACAGTTACAGGTGGAAGAGGCGTAGGGTATCCTGGCTTTTTCAAGCATGCAACTTTCGATGCTCGAACCAGACCCCTGCTTGCGCCGCAATTTTTATACTTCGCTGCAAAAGTCGGTGCTTGATATACAAATCATACGTGCAACGGAATGAAATGAAATAGTCAAATGGAAGAAATACCACATGGATAACCCCGAATTATCGTCTCTCTCGCCTCTCTGCGTTGTCAAGAGTCGTAAATAGACCCTGTAGTCGTGGAGCCGCAGGTCCCAAGTGCTGTGCTTGAGCGGACCCATAAAAAACAGGTCTAGTATTTTTAGAAATTAGCACACGTGACCGTCGACTTCGACATTACTTTCCAATCATCGCTACAAGACTGGGAGGTAGTGGACCTGGAAAGGAGACAATGTGCGGACTATATCTCATATTACCTGAATCTGATTTAGTTTACCTACATCTCGTTTAGTTGAATGGGCCCAATTGTGCCAAAAGAGAGTCAAGATCACTGTGCTCCTCACGAGGGACGATACAAGTTGTGTCGGAAAACCGGATATTTATCCTAATAGATTAGTATGTTATATGTTTCGCCCATTAAATAGACAATAAGTATCTTCTGTCATCAAGATCGGAAAATACCTCGGCTGAGGCAATTCTTCGATATTGTGTCCTCAATTTTGAGTAAATGCAAATAAGATTCAGTACGATACGCTACGTACAATGTAATAAGGGTGAAATAAACCGCTTTGCAAGGTTAGAAGAACACTTCATTAAGATCGTGGATTGATAGTTTACACCTTGGTAGTGTATGTTAACGCGATGAAGTCGATTGGAATTTGGTTATATTTCATTTTCAGAGATCTCATATAGTGAGTGCCTGCCTCTACATCTATGTCACTCAAGATCTTTCACAAACAGCAAAATCTACACCAAAACGCACTGGGTATCATTTCATTAAAAATTGCTTTTCTACCACACTCACCAACTCACGTACTCTTCCCCCTCTCACTCCAGAGCCTCGAGATAGCCATCTGCGTCCCCTCAATAATAAGCGTATGTTCCTCGCCATGAATCCTCTCCTGCAGCTCCCCCAGACTCTCGCCCTTCCGACACTCAATATTCCTCACCACAATCGGCTCTCCCCGATCCACCGCACTAATCACATAATGTATCATAATGCCCGTGGTATCATCCTCCAACTTGCCGGCCTCGAAATCCGCAAACGCGCGCTCGATAGCCGCCGCTCCGTCGTATTTCCCCGGCAGCGCGGGATGGAGGTTGATCACGGGGATACGTGCTTCTTCTAATGGGTCGAGGAATCTGGGCGTGAGGATGTGCATCCAGCCAGCGCAGATCACGAGATCGGGTTTGTCGGCCAGTATCAGATTTGCTAGGTCCTCGTCGTATTTTTCTCGGCCTTGCTGCTTGACGGCTGCGTCAGGCTCGCCGGACTTGTAGTATTTGCCGGCGATCAGGTTGTGGTAGGTTGTTGGGATTGATGCTGCGGCAGCGCGTTTTAGACCGTATGCTGCTGCTTTGTTGGATATGACGCGGACGATCTTGAGGTTTGGCAAGAGATTTGAAGTGGAATCTATCAAGGCTTGGAGATTTGAGCCATTTCCAGAGATGAGAATTGTGGCTTTGGTGACGGGGGAATTCGAGGTCATGTTGAACAAATTTTCCTTGGGATCTCTGCTGGAAGGGTTTGTTGTTCAAAAATTTCTACTTGGCGCACAATTTAAATTTATAGGGTTCGAATTTGGTGTTGTAAATTGAAGTTCGAAAATAATATGTCAAGGGTAAACAATTCTAGCGGTCCTGGGAAATTATTGAAGTAATTATGCGGAGGAAAGTATTTAGCCGTCACGTGTGACAAATTTGAATACTAAAAATACTAGAACCTTTTTTTGTGGGTCCAGCTTTAGATCGTCTCGCGGAGGACAAAATATGTGGCAGTCGAAACAGATTTGTTCGACCAAGATGACGAAATATCGTATAATTAGTAGATTAAGTTGGAACATTATAACTACTCCATCATTTGTTTCAAGTAAATGAGACTTTTGAAGCTCTGTTCGAAGTCGACTTATTATTTAGTCTTCAGAGTTGCGGGTAGGTGACTGCTACTTATTTTGTCCTCTGTGAGGTCGTTAACATTGGATTTAGATTCGCGAAAGCATTTCATTGCCTCTCAGAAACGCCGAGCACCTAAACTAAGCACTAACTTAATATATAATAGAAAAGATTACTACGAAAATATGCCTACCTAGGCAGTCAACTAGACTACCTCAAAATTCAAAGTGCTGAGAAGATTGTAGGTAACATTGTCAGAAGAATACGTGATAGATAGTAAAGCCTAAATACAGTAATCTAATACCCTCCCGTTCAAGGCGTTCATCCTCCAGTGCTTCGACTCGGCCCTTCTAATAGTACATATCTCCTCCACCTGATCTTGAAACTGCCAAATAGTACTGCAAAAATGCCAACAAGCACAGTTAAAAAGCAAAACTGAATATCATGCATACGTCTAACAAGCATTCCGTGTCAAATGCTGCGATCCCACGTCTTTCACCTCCATTCAGACGCTCGATGCCATATGCGCCTGTTCTCATTTCGGCCTAAGCTTTAGTGTAACCGATCCTCTGACTCCTTTTAATCCAATGCATTCATAATCGATGGTAGAAAAAGTCATGTAATTCGTTTTTGTCGTCGTTTCATGCCTTTTGTCTGGGTATCTTCGAAAAATGCTCCTTTCCGATGAAAATAATAGTAATGAAGATGTGACAAGAAACGAAATTTTGGTAATGCAAAATTCTGGCGAGGGCTTTTCGAGTCTCATAAGACGCTGATCCCTTCTCTCAACTCCTGGATGTTTTTATGTTGTTACATTTTCGTATCGTTCGCTTCTTCACTGGTAACCGGTACCTGCACTGGGCGAGTCGGCTGCGTTAGCTTGCCTTCGACGGGTAAGACTTCCTGTCCTTCCAAGTCCGAAACCAGTGATGGACGACTTCCGCATCTCGCGGTTATCAGTCAACCTCCCACTCGGGCCTGCGGTATCTCTTTCGGGCGTCGATCGGTCTAGAAATCTCCTGGCTGCTCCAATAGTAGACTGGGCCACAGGCGGTCCCGTGTTTGGTAGACTGGAGGTTGAAACATGGCCATTCCTTCTGACGGGTAATGACGATAGTGCAGCAGGACTTCGCTCTGGTAATGATTCTTCTGGAACATATTCTCTTTGCGAGTTCCTGAAACGCCCCACCTCCGTGATCGCGCGTGACGGTGCACGGAATCTCGTTGTGTCCTCCTCTGGCTCTTCAGTGTTACCACGACGGCTACGAATCAACAAGGAGGTTCGACGACCTCCAATCGTGGATTGAGCACTGTTCCCAACCTCTGATGGAGCAAATCTCGGACTTGGTAATGAGGAGGTGTTCAAAAGACTGCTTCTTCGCTCTTCAAGTCTGCTCAGCGCTCTAGGGCTCGATTTGATCCTGGTAATTTCGTTACTTAGAGGCTGTCGTGGTACGAGATTGGACGTCTCGATACTAGGTCGGAGCTCCGAGTCTCTTCCACTACTTCTTGGTCTAACACCGTTTTGTTTTTCAACAGGATGTTGCTCCATTTTCTCATTGGACAAAGCCAGACATAGTTCGGTCAGACTGCGACACAAGTTGCCTGCCTTTCGGCGAACCTGTCTATCTGATACTACTCCAGATGCCGGCCCATCAACCGTTGACTGCGCACTCGAAATAGGTCCTGGCTGCCCAGATTCTCCCATCATTGCAGAGATGTCGAGCGCGTCGTTGGCGGCGGCCTCCAAGTACGCGAAAATCTCAGGAGTCAAGAGCGACTGAGATTTCGCAAGCGCAGAGTACAATAGTGGATGGCTGTCATTCGGCTGCGCTTGTCGGTTACTCAATTCTGTAGGAGAACTGCTCTTGCCGTTTCCACGCTGCTTCGGAGAGGTAGACATCGTCGTATTGGTCGTAGTCGTCGCCGTTGGAGGCCGCTCGTGCGCCGCACGCGACATGGCAGCACCCGACGTTGCCGGAAGCTTCCCGGTCAATTCGAGCCTGTGTATGCGTGACTTCAAATCCTCTAGTTCGTCCCACACGGTCGAAGGCGCCGTAGTTGACGCGGTTGATTCAGTACCCTCCGCTGCACGCGATGTCTCGGGTACATGTGCTTCTTGCATGTCCACCGTTCGTGACACAAGGGGCGAGGAGTTGTAATTCCGTGGAGTAGAATAGGACAAATTCGATTGCCGGTACGATGACGGACGTGAGGGTAGCACAGGAGAGGGGTCTGGAAGGGAGCCCCGCCGTCCTTGATATCCAGACTCTTGCAGGAATTCCCTATTCGCTCGTGGGGTGGTTGGACTCGAATTGAGGTTGGATCCGTAGAATCGACTCCTATTTACATTATCCAAAGCCGTCGACGCACGATCCCTCTCCGGTGGGTTGTATGTTAGAGCCTGGTTAATGCTTCTGTTTCCTTGGTCGTCCAGCGTGCGGGAGACGCTTGATTCGTTGTCAGATCCACGGCGGCGAGAAAGCGAAGATTGGAACAGAGTGTTTGACGGTGGCAGTGATGAGCGTTGACCAATTCGCGACTGTGGATACGTTAGATATGTTTCGTCAGCATGGATCGAACATGGTCCATGCCTGTATCCTCACGTATGAGAACGGCGAAAGGGGTGGGCATTTCAGGAAGAGGCAAACACTGATAGATTATTTCTTACCCTTTGATCCAATCGACTACTCAGAGAGTCTTCTCGCCCATCATTACCAGCTTGTCGTGAAGTGTCCTCCTCCCTCGCAGCTCTTAGGAATAGATCGCTCTCGTCGCTTAAAGGCTCATCCTGCTCCGAGGAATTTGATACCCCTCTTGGACGCTCGTATGCATCTATCGCTCGCAGAGTACTATCTGCATCCGCCGAGGGTTGGCGCAGGGCCATATCAGTGCCTTTGTACGAAGAGGGTTTGAAGCCGCGGATGGGTTTGATCAATGGTCGCGAGCCACTGCTTCCAAAAGATCGCGCGGACGTGGGCTGCGCCGGACTGGGAGGAGGTTGCGATCTGGAGGTGAGCGGAGAGGAAACCGTCTGCTGCGATGCGACCCAGTCGGATGTCGTGTCAATTTGTAATTTGCCTTGAGTGATCATTGCTGGCGGTGGTCGTGAGTCGATTCCTTTTTCTATAGCATTGTTATTCCGGCGGAGTACCCGTAGTTTCGACTTTGCGCCCACCGAGACTCGTCGAGTCGAGTTGCCGTTGCCGTGGACAATAGGTACTTCTGGTCTGTTGGTGAGGAGCGAATCAACTTCGATCTCTGCTGCAGCGGTCGGCGATGAAGGTGATGACGAGCCTTTCGGCAAAGGAAAGCTAGTTGCGCGGCGAGGCAGTAGACGCTCGCGGTAGGGCGTCACTGGCGGGATCGCGTTCGTCGAATGATTTCGTGAGTGTCGCGGACTGGAGAGGGCCTCGTCGCTTGCGTGGTTGTGCGAGTGCTGGAGATGTCTGGCCGTTGTATGCGATTTGATCTGCGTCTGCTTTTTGTCGTCCGCGACGCCCTCACCACTGCTCACGGGCCCAACACGACTGCTGCTGCTCTGC